CATAACAGAATGAAAAGTGGATTTTCCTTTATAATATTTAAATTAACTGGTTAAGAGAGTTTTGTATTTTTACCAGGTGACAGGAGATATCAGACTAACTTGTAACAATGTCCTAGAAAGCTGAAGGAGCCAACAAACATTCCTATTATGAAAATAAAACTGACTTAAATGAATAAAGAGTCTAAACCTTATCGACTAATGTACTCAGCAAACATTAAGTTAGAAACATTATATTCAAATCTATATGCAAATAATAAATATGGTTAATATCACAGGCATGAAAAACATTCAGAAACATCTGTCGAGAGACACAGGGTGAACACATTCGCTCTGTAAGGAAATACAGTTACAATCTGTCTGCATTGTTAGCTCAAAGGTAGCAGTTGAGTGCAACTTCTGACAAAGTTCCTCTTGGAAGAAGTATAGCAGATGTTAGTGATGGACAAAAGAAAGTACTCCTGAACCAAAAACCAAACAAGAAGTGAGCTGTAGCAGAATGAGACTCTATATCCAGCTTCTCTGTTCACATACATCAGGTTCAAACAACGAAATCTCAGTCCAACTAGAATGTTGTGTCTAAGTGTGCAGGTGAAAGAGCTATTCATCTCCACACGTGATATGGTAAGCCCAAAGTTAAAACAGGACACCGCTCTCCTACATTAAAAACACCAACAGAAAACAAGCTGTAAATTCAGCTAATAAGCATGAATTAAATTCATTATATACACGTTTTCTATAATTAAATATATATTTAAAAACCCAAAAATATTAGGTTGAAGACCGTAATGTAGGTAAAAACCTCAGTCCTTGCCAGTCCCGCTTCCTAGCAAGACTGAGGAGATATTAAGTATAGTTCAGAGATCTGCCTGTCCATTGTTTCTTCCAATTAAAATTATTTGTATTTTTTGTTATTGCTTATAGGATCTCAGAATGTAAGGAGGACAAGCACTTTTAAGAGCCACAATAATATCCTTCCAAACACATTTATGATTTAGTTTTCGACTACTTTTAAATAGTTTAAGAATGTTAAAGAAAGATTCATTTTTAAAGAGTGCAGAGACATATCAGACAATTCTCTGGAAGCATGTAAGGAAAAGCACTAATGACAATGTCAAATAAATTACCTCCCCTACACACATCTGTTATCAGTGTCAGCAAGTACTGTATTCTGAACACAAAACAGGTGCTAAAGATTGTTGTGCTCTTTGCGTCTTAAAAACAAGCAAACATTGATTCATAAAGCAGTAGTAAAGTTCATTTTCCTACAAAGATATGTATTTATGGAAAAAACATCATTTTCCAGTATTCACAACTCATCATAATCACAATTAGTAAACTGCCTGTTCAACAGCATGGCCAGTACCTTAAAATTCAAACCCTGATATCACCAAATCTGTCTTAAAATTACAACACATAGGTAGGTTTCACTCTAGAACAGTTGCTACAGTCTTACTAAAACCTCTTTAGAAATATCTCATCTTACAGAATTTCAGAGTCCCTTTCATTTTACTTTTATTAGTGAAATTTTAGGGAAAAGTTTATTTTGAAAAGAAGCCTAGAAAAGCAAGTTGTTGGGTTTTTTTTAAGCCAGACATGCTGTAATTTTTAGATTGATGCTATCTCATCAAACCCTTACTTGTCTACTCTAGGAAACGGACACCATGTGTCAGATAACAAGGTTTTTTTGAAAGAATGTGCAGCATTTTCAGGGCTGGGTTTCAGAAAGATTAGCTCTATGAACAGTGCAGCTGTCCAATGGTCCACAGGTGTTTCACAAGAATTTCAATGGAAACTAGGATATTTATTTACACATTCCACTGCTGCGCTGGAAACCCAAACACAGCAGCTTTGAGCATGATATAAAGTTAACAAACTGTTTATCATCTGCATTAAACGATATGGAGACAATAAACCAAAAACAATGCATACACACAGACTTTTTCAATCTTTAAGTTATTTTAATGCCCCTTTAATAGAGAAGTCATCTTTGGCTGCAGAAGCTGGCAGTCAGATATAATTCCATTACAATAATAATAATAAAAACTCCAAACTGACTCTGGCTTTCACAACTGGTTTCCATTACTTCTGAATTTCATACCAAAACCAGCTTTGACAAAACAATTTCATTTCACACTACAAAGGAGGTTATGGTTTACACAACCTACGTAATTGCTACATTGGCTGTAATGAATAGCAGACAAAAGTGACGTGAAGGGCAGAAGCTGTCCTGGAAAATCTAAGTTATTAAAAAATTACATAAGATTTAACAGAGCCTCGACGCAGGGTTGTTTTCACAGTACAGTGAAAACAGGATTGTTTTCACAGTACTGGTTCATCACCAGTGAACCTGACGGCCATAACTAACACTGACATTAGATACTCTTATTTTATACCACATTTCATTGTAGCTTTACAAAGACCTGCAGGGTTAGCGCCGTTCTACAGACATAGAAAGGCCTTGGCACAAAAGTTCAGTCACTCAGAAAGGCAGTAGCACAACATGAACAGAAACAGCTCACCCAGTCTCACTCCACAACTTTTTGGTTATTTTTCTGAAGTCATCACAGAAAACCCGTACCAGCTGCACCCAGAATTCATAATACTGAAAAAGCATTTAGCATCCTTTCCACTTCACAACTTTTTTTGTTGGCAAGACTGCCGATTTCCCCTCCAGGCCACAGGAAGATTATTTTGGAAATAAATCCACTAGTTATCTTTCAAGCGCACTGCTAGACAGAACCAGCAGACACAAGTTTTTGCAGATGTACATATAGGGAAGCAGGACCACTCAAACAACTTGTCCCGTACACACTGAAAATCAGCGAGTATGAGAATCATCAGAAGAACTGGACATTACAGCATGCAGCAGATAAACACAAAAGCTGTAAGACCAGAGGAACTTAAAACATACAAGGAGGCTGAATTTTCCCACATCAGCTCTGACAAGCAGAGTGTATATAACCTGGGTCACATAACATGATAACGGCAGCATCCTCTCAAAGCTATCACAGGGGACCGAGCAGCCCCTATTTTCTGGGGATGAAACTCAACAAGAAGAGTCAATGGGAAGGGCACCTTACAGAATGAAGAGGATTGCTGCCAATTGGGGCCTGGAACTCATAAGGTGCTAGAGGAGCATCTGGAGATACCATAAGGCTTATAATGAGATTTTTAAAGGGAAAAAAAAAAAACCTAAGACAGGCAAAAGGGACAGAATGAAGGTGGTTCAGGAAGGAACAAGCATGGGAAAATACAGGGCAGAAAGGCACCAGCTTTAAGCGGGTGACTGCTGAGTACGCTCGTCCAGCAATGCTCTGCACCCTATTGCCACAGTCTGTCCCATCTTCTTATTAAACTACACTTTAAATATTTTCCTTGGTGAACAGACTCTATTCTGCATGCATAAGTGTGTACAGAAGTGTACACGCCAGCAGCTGGAGCTGGACCTCACATAGGCTCAGGTACCTGATGTGCCAGCAAGTGGAGAGGCCAGAGCCCATCCATTCGGCCTGGGTACACACGACTGCGTGATCGCTGGCAAACACCAAGCTGGAGTATCTGGTGAGTAGGATAAGAGGCTTAGGAGCCAAGTATCAGAGCAGCCGTGAGTCTGGGCCAGATACCAGAGAGTCTGAGATTTGGCTACTGGAGGGACCAGGAAGTCCAAGTGAGTTACTGGAGACACCAGGACATCTGAGCATTGGCTACTGGTAAGTCTAGCTGCCAGAGAGACATGTTTGTATGTATGCATCTCTTATGCATGAGGCAACTGGGAGACCAGTGGATCCAGGAGCCAGCTACTAAAAAAACCAAGTGTCTAAGACCAATTAGTGGAGGGACCTATAGCGTGTTCAGCTGTGGGAGCGCAGGTCTGAGTAGTACCAGCAACTGGTCTGGGAGCTGTGGGCCTTTGTGGTTCACATGCCCACAGCTGGGGTGTTCAACAAATCAAGGAGCTACTGAACAGACTGTGTAAGACCAGTTACTGGAGGGATCTATATTCTCTGTGTCTATATATGTATATTCACTTTCTACAAACAGGCTTTCACTCTGATCAGCCAGAGAGGGGAACAGGACGTGTTCACTGGCATTGCTTGTGTTGGCCTATGTTGCCAGCCAAATGTAAATGTATACATGTATTGTACATCACATGCCTATTGGGAATACGTGGTCAGCCTCACTGTTGGCTGGACCTTGGACACAGAGCTACGGCAGCTTTGCTTCCATCGGGCTTGCAGATTTAACAGTTCTTATCACAAACAAAAATAAATATAACTTTGTTGAAGCCTTTTGAATTATAATTTCAAGTGTTATGGAATCAAGGTGATAAGAGGTCATGAATGCTCTCTTAAAACTCCAGACTCATTACACAAAGTATTATCAATTAAATGAATCCTAAAACAAAGAGAAAGATCACTATCAATGTAATTAATTATGAGGAAACAACAGTGAACTAACTGTAAAACAGATGTTGAAATGCCTGAGCTGGCTCCAAGAGGAGTGATTCTCATCCAGCAATGTCAGTTACCCAGTTGAAGCGCAACGCTTTCAAGATGCACTCGGCTCCTGAGGTCACACACCTGCATTCACACAATGCAGAACATCCCTGCGCTATGTCTGTGGTCAGGGCACACGAAGAGTGGGAAACGAAGACAATCAACCCCACAGAGTCGTTCAGGTCCAAAGTGTGTTTGCTGCAGTTCAGACACTTCAGTATCTTTGCAGTGCTTACTACCTAGTTTTTCAGAGTAAAATTCACTACCGGGGGTAACAAATGAGTAAGTGCACACACATGAATGGAGCCAGTTCTACTCTGATGCTACACTAGAGTCAGCAGCCCATGCTTGAACCTTGAGTGCCCACTGGAGACACTGAACAGCTCAGAACTTGCATTGGAGAAAAGAAAACCTCATACTTCATAAAAGTTTAGTAAGTAGCATATCATTTATAAGCTTTAAAATTCTCTTATGATACATGGCAGTAAAGAAAGAGCAACTTACCAGCTTTGGGCGTATTTAGTGGTTTTGTTTCCACCTTGCTACACTTATTAATGCTGAAACATGTTTTTGTAGTCTTTACTTTTCCAGTTGACTCCACAGACTGTGTAAAATTTGCATTTTGATTCTCACCATATAATTTAGAAAGCAATGAAGCACTTCCCTCTTTCTCATCTATCTGCAAAAGAGAAACAAGTTCACACTAGTATTTGCTTCATGCAGTTGAAGAGAAATGGAGAAAAATGCAATGAGAAGGGTTCCTAATTCATGCTCATCCTCATTATCAAACTATCTACACAAATATATGGATCTCAGTGCTCACAACAAAAAGCATGTGCACACAATGCCAAACACCAATTGTGCAAGTACTTTATGAACTGAATTTTACAGAAGTCTTCTGTAGATAAAATCAATAAAAACTGTGATGCGTTTTTTGGTTAACGTTGAAAGTTTCAGATAAACTTCCTTGCAACAAAACCACAACTCAATGTACTGACATTTCATTACTCAGTATCTTGGCTTTTTAAGTGCTTTTGCCAAAGCATTCCAAACATTTGAATCCAACAAAGCCTTCTCCAAGATGCAATCCATACCTCAGCTACACTGAGGATTGTATTTGGGCTTAATACAATTTACTTTTGTTTATCTGAAAAACATTTTTCTGCATCCACTTCAGAGAGCGACAGAAACCTACCTGAGAAGCCAGATCAAAGGTAGTAAGAGCAAAGGTCTCTAAATCTATTCTGAATAGACTGATTATTTAAGCAGGGATTGTTCGTGGTGAGCTCAGATGCTATCTTTTAGTAATAACACTGTACAAACATATATACTATTTAGTGCACTGTTCAGTTTACCTCCTTTAATTTCATTTCTTGGTCCATCTCCTTAGTTTCGTTCTTGAGACAAAACGTGATACTTTTTCCCGGTGGTATAAACCTTGGCTTTTTGGCTACATTTCCTAGCACTTGACTTGGAGCTGCTGATCGCCTCATATTTAGTTGTACTGCTCTGGAGGGTGGAGAGGAAGGAAGGAAGGAAGTAGATAAAGATAACGGTAGCCAGAATAGGCTTTAAATGTAAAAATATATCCATAGATAACAACATAAGCACTATTTTAAAACAAACAAACAAAAAAGATAGCATAAAAGATTTTCAAATAACAATTCACAAGCATAATACAACTTCAGAAAAAGTAGTATCATTGTAATGTATTGTTTAAGTACTAAGAAATACTGACTACAGCAAATTCTGCAGCAAACACTTTTTCATTTGAAAGGTCAATAATGCAATTCTCAATAGCAAGAAGTGGTCTGAAGGGGCACAATGTAGGGCTTCTTCACAAATTCACACCAGTTTATAAAAAGAAAGACAATATGAAACAGAACTAACTATTCTAAACCCTTAAAACATAATTTTGAAGAGCTCGTTATTAGTGCACAATGAACAATGAATGTTGAAGGTATGTTTCATATCTGGGAGTGGTATTTTCTATTAAACAGTCAATTATATTGGTCATTCAGATGCATTATCATAAAATTCTAATTCATCAGATAATTATATCAAAATTACAGTGGAGATTATCACTCCATATTATGTCTACTTGAACAGTGGAATGAATTATATGTTTTCAACCATTATCCCCCTAAACAACCTCAGGACAAAACCAAAAATACCCCAATATTAACGTGACAAAGCATACTTGCAACCACTAGAATAACAAGTTATGATCTTAATACTTCAAAGTAGTAGAAACAAAACAAGAAGAGAAAATTTCAATAGAATAACCTCACAACTGGAATGATGAAGACGAGCATGGTACAGCAACTTATGGAACAAACTTTGGTTTAACTCTCCATTCATACAAGGATTATTTATTTTAATTGATCCTCTCAATTAACTGATTAATGAATTAATTGATTAGGTAAAAATAAGCCATAATACTGATTGCAGACAAACTTGTTTACCTATACCATCATGAAAGCATGTTTGCATCCGATTGCAACAGCCAGGGTGTTTCTGCACTTTTTTTTGACGCCACCCTGCACTCCAGTGGCATACTAGGGCACAACAACCTTTCTTTCCGAGATTTACAGAGAAGTACTAACAGAGTACTGTAAAAATACTCTGCAAACATGCAAACACTAACATAAGTACTGCTATCCCCTTCATATCTGAAAGATTAGCATATATACGATGCTGTTACTAGATGTAAACCTTAATGGCAAAGTGGCTCGAAGTGTTGTCACTTCCATGGTGGCTGTTATTAAAAATACAAGGAAACAGGTCTCTGGCTGTGTCAACAGCAGTCCACACACCTTAGGTCTACTTGACAACAGTGCTGGCACATGAACTTTAGTTAATCCTATGCAATAAGGAAGTAGCTTGGTTATTAAACTGGATTATCTGTAGCGTAAACAGGTGATAGTCACTATCAAAGCTGCAAAGGTGTTAACAACCTTCCAGAGGAGTAGACTTCGAGTGCGAATGCTGACCACAGCCAGCTTCAGGTGCCACGTGAATTTGAATAAGTTGTCTACCCAGTCCCATAATGCATGGTGACGCTTGGGAAGACAAACCAGGACATCCCACGACTCTACATGAGGACTATGCACAGCACGGCTGAACTGCTACACTGACCCGGCTCACTTCACTTCTAGAGCTTGTCACATCTCCCATGGAACAGGGGAGTTGTGCAATTCACAGATCGCATGCATCTGTGATTAAAGTGTTCTGGTTTCCAAATCCATTTGGACTTTGCACTGTCACTTGTTCTTAAACCACAAAAACAGACTCATTAAGAGATTTGCAAATTATTAAGAAATATAAAGATATGACCCTTGATAACTCAGTGACTTCACTTCTGTTAAATTTAAGAACCCCATGGCAGGGGGGTTGGAACTAGATGATCTTTGAGGTCCCTTCCAATCCAAACCATTCCATGATTCTATATTACCAGTATTACCTACCTGCAACTACAAAAAACACTAGAGTTTGTGGGTTTTAAAATGTAACATTGCTTCCAGCAATACATCTCTCGCTGTCTTGAAAATATAAACTTTATAAAAAGATAACAAAAAAAACCCTTCAAAAATAATACACCAAATGTTTATATTTTGTACCTTTGCTGTACAGAAAAAAGGTCATTACAGATGTGCAACAACTGATTGATGCTAGATCTTTGAGATGGGATCAGAGTAGGTGTAGCTAGGGGAAGGAATAGCATTACCACTAAATGAATTGACAAGCAAATATGCCCTTTCCTCTGAGACAGCCACCAATATGCCGAATCACCTTGGACATGCAATACGGCTAGATATGGCTGCAGGGAAACAGCTGGAGGTAACGAGAAAAGCACTGCTCCTGCCTTTTATTAGCAACCTAGCTTGACCAAACCAAGCGTACCATGAAACCACATCCTAAAACGCCTCATGAACACACCTGTTTTTGCAAGCATTGAATTCTTCTCCTTACAAGTACCTTAACAGCTGCATTAAGCCGAAACTCATATACAAAGAATATTTCAAAATTTTACACATGCAACTCAACACAGTATGAATGGAGTCCTGCTAAAAGCATCAGCCATTTTAGCACAAATTTAACAGGCTGCTCTCCTGAACATTTGAAGAGACATTTCCGGCATAGATGACCAGGCTAAATGATTTTTGTAGGCAACAGGATCAACTTTTCCTCAGTGAAACAGCAAGCAGCGAGTGCCTCGCCTTGGATATCAGTATTAGGGAAAAGTCACCTCAAACGAGTAATATCTGTAAGGATTTAGCGCCGGCCCAAAAAGCGATGCTATTCAAACTCTCATTAGCCCGGCCC